TAACCACGAGGATCGGGACTGGGAGATGGACTAATCACGAGATTTCGAGGCAACCCGATCTCGATGCGATGCCTGGGGAAGCTGGGAAATTCCGGTCATCCTCCCGGATAAACGGCAGAGACATGGCGGTATACAACAGGAAGTGCTGGTGCAGAGAATAAAGAGGAAGGACCAACAACCCACACGACCTATGTAGAGTCTTTACACAACGAGGAAAGAAAATCAAATCAAACCACTAGCGGAGACTCGGACGAATAGCAAGCCAAGCCGTGGTTATCGTCGGGTGATGAAGGACAAGTCAAAGGGTCGGTGAGGGAGGCGGGGATGTCAGAAACAGAAATGGAGCCGTGGAAATAGTGTGGAGGAGGCAGAGCAAATTTCCAACCAAAGTTCGTGAAGCTCGAAGCAGAAAGAACTGGCTATGACTGGTTGTTGGTCAGTAGTGGCCGTAAAGCAATCTGCGGTGCTTGGTCACGCGTGCGACAAAGGGGAATTGCAGACTGACAGAGTATCGGGCTAGGACGGAGCGCAGTGCGAGACGTCCAAGAACCACGCACTCAACTTGTTCCCAAGTACCTCGTACCTTGTGTACCAACACAGAACCTCGCACACCTAGGTACTTCAGGACTCACCAAATATGAGGTACATACTCGGTACCTCGTCACCAATGACACCGCCAAAGGATACGTGGGTGCATGCAGAGACACGGCGAGGCTTTAGGCTCGGCAGTTGAATGCAGGGCCTGTGGATCGACAGGTACAAGGCAAATCTGAAGTCTTTTGCTTGACTCTGGTTCCAGAACACAAACTTGGAGGCCCAAGAGCAGCTGACTGGTCTACCCTGTACAGATTGACTTATCCACTTCAGCCTACGAGTACTTCCTAGTACTCCAATCAGCCCAGTCCACGATTCAAATACCCTTTCACAAATCCATCAGCAGGCAGGGGGGTAAGAAGAGAAGGGGGAAGCAGAAGGGGAAGAGAAGAATACATACACATTTTCTCTCTCACACACGCACACAAACACACAGAAAGAGAGGGAAACACAAACACAAGTAAAAGAGAAGGGGAACACAGATCCATCACCCACCGTCGTTCTCGGCCTTGTCCCTCCTCCACTACTAGGGCTGCCAGCCACTCACCCCCTCTGTCTCTGCGAGAAATTCTGGTCACGCGCAATTCACGGCCGCGGAGCCTGTGGCTTTCCATCTTGGATGGGGTCCCATGCTGACCAGTAAAGCACACACAATTTAGCCTCACTGGTTAAAACATCTGCAAAATGATCCAGCCCATTTGCCAGCCCCAACCCCGGGCGTGGACATGGTCCTGCTGACATGAAAAAAGAAGCTGGTGCACGACGGGGAGGATGGAGAGAGAGGACTCTATCCGTTCGGCTGCAGCCAACTTACCTCGATATGGCACCGGCTGGCCAAGGGATCCATTCGATCTACCCTCTCTACTCGGTACATATCTTTCTTCCACTACGAGGAGCGCTGTTTGCCCCAGTTCTGAGCTGCGCTCTTCTTCTCCTCATACTACTCTACCGAGTATATACCGCAGCCAGGCCCCCCCAAAGTTCTCTCGGAAAGATTGGTCTCTCCCTTTTCCCCTCCTTCTCTTTCGCCCTCCCTTCTACTTCTACGTACCCAGAGACTCTGGAGCCCTTCACCCACAACATGGAAGAGAGAGGACTTCTCTGTTATTTCTGTTGGCCCTCAGCCCACCGGTTGACTCACTGATTCGGACGAACTGGCTCAGCCTGGTGATCTGGCCCTCCCAGCTGCCCTGACAGCCACAAAAAGAAAGGGGCCGAGTCACGACACGCCAAATGGCAAAAGACGGCTGGATCTTTCTTTTCCCGTCTCGCCCTCCCTTCCAGGATTTGACCCAAAGTTAGCGAACGGTGCCAACAAAGGAGAGATCCGGACCGTCGCCGCCGGGTGAGCAGGCAATGCAGGTGCCACGTCGGGCACCCTTGGATGATCCGGTCGGTTCAGGCATAGTGGCTTGAAGCCTGGGCGATACCCCTGCCTATCACCCACTCTTTTGGGCTCTCATCGGGCCCCTAGCAGCCTCAGCTCGCATTCCCCGACCACTCAAGACGATCGACGTGGGCAAAGGCCGCAACTCCCTTTGGGACCTGACTTGTCTGTCCACCAGGGATTGGACCCTGAAGTCCCAAAACAAAGCCATCAAGGGAGGAGGGTCCAGCCCCAGGCACAGACACGAACAAGCAAGCCAAACAAATCCAACGCTATCGTGGATTCTGACATCCGACATTCTTCCATCCTCCAGCCCAGGGCCCAAGGTCTCATCACTTTCGGTACGGCAAGTCGAGGGAGGGTGTAGTGGACTACGAGTACTTTATATCATGGCCACCGTGTGTTGTTGCCCTGTTTTACTCACCACCCCCTTGGGAAGGGTTGTATTTCTCCCTCCTCCCTCCCTCTCTCTGTGCCACTCTCATCCTCTTCCTCTCAAATATGCCCACATCATCGTGGTACACGGCAGGAGTGTCATGTCAAGTCAACCTTGTCAAGTCCATTCTATTCAGGACAGTCTTAAGAAGAGAGTCTTGTCGGCTTTCTTCCTTTCACACATACCCTGATCTGCTCCAGTTTCGCCTATGCAACCGGCTGGGTAAAGCGCTACTGGTCGCGAGCCTATCATCACATGGCGCAGCACTGTGCTGAGACCCGGGCGCACATAAACAAGTTCGCTCGTTATTCGCGTTGGATGGCTTCCCTCTTTCGCAGTCCATAAGGCGAGGCTGACCTCCTACTACCACTGCCGCAGCCACCACCTACCGATGAGGCTGAGGCTGGACCCGCGCCGCTCCGTACCGCAGCCATGCTCAATTTGGTCTTTGAGCCACCGGCTACGATACCATGTATTGTCGGAGAAGAGTCTTTGATGCTTTTGGCCATCACGGCTTGGGACACCATCTTACAGTCGTGATGCATGTCGTCCTCAAAGTTTTCTGCAGCAGCAGCAATTGGCATGTCGTCGCCAATACCATTGTCACCGCTATCAGAGACTCTACTGCATGTCGCCCTATCTAGCGCAGTGCTTCCAGCAACGGACAGGTCAGCCAGTGTGGACATCAAAATCAAGCCTCTCAGCGAAGCAAAGCCGCAAACCAAGTGCTCGTCAGAGATATGGACACAAGCGAGCAAGCTTTTTCCCTGTCGACGGCAACTACTGAAACCAACATGAAGCCTGTCAACGAGGTCAAGGCAATACAAGTTCCGTCGTGGCACCAGGCAAATCGACATGCAACCCCTGCTGATGCAATGGTCAAGTGGCTCTTCACTCTCGCGGACTCCCCATCACCATCACCACAACCACGAGTGAAGCTACCACCCTCGCTGTGGATATCTTTGCCCTGCCCGTTCTTAACACCCTCTCCACCGCATCCTCCCTTGCCTCATAGCCATGTCCATTGACGGCATTACTCAGCTCGGTGCCGTGCCATGGCGCATCGCCTACAATGGCACGCGTATCGGAGCCGGGTACAAGCGACATGATGTCTGCCATCTGTTCATCGCCATCGCCATCGCCATCGCCATCTCCTGCCCGACGACCCACTTTCACGCTTGCAGTTCATGCATACAACTGTGGTACCAACCATACAAGAGGCACGTTGCTCTGGTGCATGGCAAGCACCCTTGCTTGACACATGGTCCCACTGCACATACGAGTGCTCAGTACAATGGTAGCATGATCTCATCTCATGGCACGGAATTGAGAGTCGAGTACATGTCCTTCGTGCACGGATCTACATACACGCACACACCCTGGAACTGCACATACTCGCTCTCAAAGTCGGAACCTCAACACCCTCCTCTTCCCCGATCCCCACCCACCCAAGTCCTATTGTTCAGTCCCTTATCGGAACGTGGGAGTGAGTGGGAACAAGTCCCCTGGTGTTACTCCTACCGCAGTAGAGTCAAGAGAAGGAGAGAGGCCAGAAAAGAAAAGGATCGGGTCGTACACGGGGGAAGAGTGAAATGCGAGCCCGTCTCCCTTCGACATACCGCAAAACGGCAAACGAGCTCCGAGCAGTCTCGTCATCAAAACCTGCATTTGCTATCGTATGGACCTCATGATGGCATGAACGACAGACGCAATCAAGAGAACTACTGATTTATTTGGTTCAAAAGAAAGGATGCGATGTCGCTCTCTACCTTGGTGCCTTCTCCCAAAAATGACAACCGCCCTTGGTCTTATCACGTCCAAATCATCATTTCCTCGAATCGTTCATCGGCGACGTCGAAATTGCCAGGCCGTAGCACAGGAAGGGCACTTCCAGTACAGGCCACAATGCAACTCGAGTAACCCAACGCACCAAGACGTGACCTTCATTCAGGGACACTTGCAAGCGACTTTCCACCTTTCACGTCCCGTTGACCTGGACCCAAATCCCACAATTGTTCCGCCACACCAAAACACATCCCAAAAAAGTGTTTACAAGAAAGCAAGTTCAACGCCTTCAACCCCACCGAACTTTTTTAACTGCCGGTGCCCAATGGCACCTCGGCAGATTGGCTTTTTCAGCCATTTCCTCACAATCTCCAGTCTAAAGAACTCGATTGGCGGTTGTCGTCAATTTGCCGACCCAGTCTGGAGTTGAGGTGCGTCTATTAACAAAATAGTGGGGAGGTTTCCTCGCGAACGCCGCCGGAGAAACGAAGGTGCTGTAATGCGGGTGATGCTGAAAAAAAGGTGAAGACATTTGTCTGGGTCGCTAAAAGAACAGCAGACAGGAAGAAACGATTTTGATCCGCCCCGGACGAAAAAATGCTGTCGTGGTGTCTCGACCGGGATATCCCGTATCAACCATCTGCCGGAGTGGTATACTAGGATTTGTCGAGGTCGTCGGACATGGAAACTGTCCGACTGCGTCGATTAGTTCAGTGTCTATGCGCTGCCGAGGCCAACGTGGGACAACGTTGGCCAGGTTGATGCAAGCATTCTTTCATGCATGTGATGAAGAGGATGTTATCCTTGAATTGCCGTCGGGGTAGGCGACTCGGACATCAAGGTATGTTGGGCCGCTGAATGGTATGGGTATCCAAACGAGGCTGGCGACCCAGAGCGAGAACCGAAGAACCCGCCTGTCGACAAGGGCGACGAAGAACGCGCCGCAAATTGCGCGAACGATTTTGACGATTGAGGTTGTTGAACGGGCGACATGCTTCGAGGTGGTGTCGGAGTAGTCGAGCCAGAAGAATCAGACGAACTGCCTCCATTGCTCTCCGACGCGGACGCAGAGTCCGCTGAACCATCAACCTTGACCGTCCCAAACTGCAACAAAAAATTAGCACATCAATGTGTCTTGACTTCCTCGCTCTTTCCCCGGGTACCTACAAAGCAGTACTTGTCCACCTGCACAATCTTGTTAGCCTGGGCCCGAAGCGAACATCAATACAGCAGGGTGTTCTGGGGGAAAGAGACTTACGAGCTCCTTGTAGCTCTGTGAGCTGAGAGAGGGTTTCTCAGAGAGCAAAGCAGCCGGCTTGGATGTCAAAGGAAGAGCAGCGGAAGCCGGTTTACCGGCTTCGACTTTGACACCGTTGATGCCAGTTTCATGCTTGGGAGCAGCGTCCGCAACACTCTGTTCAGGAGCTGTTGCAGGAACCTCGTGGGAAGACTGCTTTGTGTACGTCCTTGGACCCAAGCCAGACCACTCGCCCATGGCGGCATATGCATTGTTCTTTGCAGCCGTCAAGGATGTCTTGAAGTCATATCGGTTTCCGAATGCTTGAGGCCCAGCCTGCTTACGGCGCTGGGGAGCATCGGGAAGAAGCTCAGCTTTGGATTTGGGACTCCTCAACTTGAGCTTGGGTTCACCCATGAGCAGACTTGGAGACTGCAGGAAGCTCCCAAAACTGTCAAAACCAGTTGAGAAATCGTCGAATGAGGTAGGCATTGACACCGGTCTTGCAGAAGAGGTAGGTGGTGATGGTCGACTACGTGGCAAGGCATTGAGGGGCCTCTCACCAAGGCCAGGGCTGGACTTGCTTGGTGGCGACTTGGACTTCTTGCTGAAATCAACTTGGTAATTGGCACCACCATTATTGTCCCAGAATTCCTGACCGTTGACATTATAGCGGATGCAGAAGAACAATGTCTTGCTTTCCAGATTCGCTTGGTCTTCGAGCTTGATGCTGAAATTAAAGCGATCGAGGCCGTCGTGGTTACCCTTCCGCCGAACATCATTGTTGTAGTCAGCAACGATTTCCGAAGTGGTCTTCCAGTAGTCGAACGTGAAACGAGCAACAACTTGTTTGTGGAATGCCAGGTTCTGCACTGCGACAGTGCCGATAAGATTCTTGTTGTCAGAGGAGAGGAAAACCCTTTCCACGAGAACGGGCTGTGCCCTTCGAGCATCCAAATCGGTGGGGAAATTGTTCAAGCGGATCTCCCATTCATATGAGGGCGTGCGAGAACGAGTACTGGTCTCATCCGACCCGAAGGGAAAATCGGTCTCGCTTTCGTAGTTCTCTACGGGAGATGAGCCGGCACTCACAGCAAGCGGTCTGTCCACCTGCAGGAAGTGTCTGACGTGTTCAAGGTGAGAGTCAAAGTGGACAGCTTTGGAGTAGGTAGGTGTGCCAGGCATGCTCGAGGGCCGCCGCCGTGAAGACGGTCGCAGAGCAGGACGAACAAGTTCACCTGACTTTTTGCGCACCATGGCCGGTCGCTCGGCGGGAGCATTGTCGCTGTCGCTGTCATCAGTGTCTGGCCGAATGGCCACAGAGGGTGTTTGCTTTGAAGGAGACTCGAAGATTATGTTCGAATCGGTCGACGACCTCGAATGAGAGATTTTCCGAGCTTCCTGCGATAAGGGCAGTCGCAAGACAGCAGGGCCCGCCGATTGTGTGCCGTCGAGACGGGAAACAACGTCCGACCTTGTGATGGAAGAGCTGTGCTCCCCACGAGTTGGGGAACCTGTATCTTTTCGTTGCTCAATCGACCGGATGGCCTCTTGCAGCGCTTGGAGATCCTCGTCAAAATCCCTCGAACGCCCTCGCTGCTGAGGTTCATCCTCATCGCTCGAGTTTTGAGAGGAATCTGGGGGTGATATTGTCATTCCTGCAGGTATCAAAGCATTCGTCAAAGGGGGAGGTGACTGTCGAATGCTACCATGTGGGTCGAAGTCCCCGTTCACCTCGTACGCCTCTCCATTGTGAAGGACCTCAATCTTTGCTGCATCAGTCAACGAGGGACTCCGTCGGTGCTTGGTGAGGTAGGAAGAGGAGCCACTAGAACGAGGGAGATTCGGTCGATCGGCAGCGTCCGGAGAAAGTGAAGGTCCTTTGATATACGAGTGGGAACGGCTTGGGGTGGGACTGGATTGTTTGGAGCTCGAGGGCGTATGATGGGTAGGTGGCGTGTAAGGCATTCGGTCGGCTTGTGAGGAATGAATGGGCCAAACCAAAAACTGCAGGTGTTCAACGTGCAACGAGGCTCATTAAAGTACAACCTGCAGCAGGTCGAAGGTGATTATTCGGAGGATTAAAGACGATCTGAAACGAGACGAGGCAGGTCAGTATATTGAATCAAAATCATTGTGAATAAGAATAAGGTCAATCGTAGGAGCATTGTATGTAATGGTAGGACAAGTGAAGGACAAGCGTAACGAGAGCCATGAGCGCAGCCACGGTCGAGTTGACCACGCGATGCCAACTTTCCTGACGACTATCGCCCAGCCACGCGCACACGAGTGCCGTGCGTCAGTCCGGGGTAGGGAAGTGGGAAGGTACTTACGGAGCGTGTCGAATGCCCGGGTTTTTAGAGTCCAGGCAGGAACAAAGCAAGCAGAAAATCTGACAGGGAGTTACTGAGGGTGATGTTCGAGTGTGCAATTCGTCCGTTGAGGTGGAAAAAGAGAAGAGCCTCCGTCACTTTCTACCAGTGCAGAACGGCGACCAAACACAGTTATCGCCACGGGACCAGAGATCAACCGTACAGCGACAAACTTGTAAGGACTGCTACTGTTTCTGCACTTCCCAGAGACAGTGACAAGCAGGACTTCCGAGAACACACAGGAACAAAGTCAAAATGGTGTGACAATGTTCTCTTGATATCCTCCTCTTTTTCTTTGTTGGTGAGACTGTCCACACAGGCAGATCCGGGCTGCTTGTTGATCGGTGACCGACAAAGGACAAAATAGGTCAGGTAGGTTCGACCGTGGTGATACCGCTGGCCGTGTTCGTGTGTCAAAGAGTCCCAGTTCTTTCTAGGATAGATATCAAGAGACAGGCTGGGTGAAGGCCTAGAGAATGGAGGGGGAATGGGGGAGGAGTTGGTGGTGGTGGAGGATGAAGAAGGGAGGAAGGAGGGAGTATTTTGGGTTGGTAGTTGATTAGCGGTGGTGTGCCAGTGGGCAAGGCAGGCCGACCAAGAAGCCAAAAGGTGTTGAGTCTCGAGCGGCCCAAAGCAGGAAGCTCGGATCTGCGCGAACAAGGTAGTGTGGGCGACTTGGGGGGTGGGTTTAGGGTGGGAGGATGGGCGGTAGATGAGGATCGGATGGGTAAGTAAGTTGAGGTGAGAACGGAGGGGCGGGCGCTGGGAACCTTGGAGCTGGGAGGACTAATGGCCCTAGTTTCTGCTCAGAGTGGTTTTAGAGAGTGGGTATGGTTGGCGCGACCATTTCTGAGCACAGAGGCGAGGACTGATAACCCTGGTCCGATGAGATGCAGTAGTGGGTCCTAGGGCGCAGGCTAAAACTGTGCGGTGGACTGAGGGCCTTGGGGTGGCGTAACTCGTCTTGAGAACTGCACGATCCCAACGCTCGCCCAGCACGACACGACGGCTACCTGGGGTGTGTTGCTGCGGCTAAGAATTTTGGCCTGCGACGCTAATGGCAAGTGGACATGGTAAAGGGGGGTCGAGGAGGAGATATTGGCGACTAGAGATGGCAACTGAAAATGCCAATCCAAACGTGGCTGGAAAATACAGAATACAGGGTAACGGTGTGGGAAGAAATTCCAAGACGATGACAAGAGTGAACGCACTGGCGTCGTTTCAGTGATAGGCGATAGATAGGCACACCAAAAGATAGAGGAAGCGGGAGAGAAGAGAGATACGAGTATTAGAGGAAGATGAGAGGCTTGTGGTGTACGAGTACGAATACAAGTACACGGTACAGCCTCCGTATTTCGCTTGTGGTCTGATATTATTGTAAGAAAGGCACCAAAGAGTCCCAAGAGCTGCTGCGGCTTATGTGTTGCATATCTAATATGAAAGATTCCCACCTCTTCTTCTTTTCCGACTTCCACCTCGTCCGCTATCGGAAATGGCCTCGACGAGCAGATACCAGCAAGTGTACGTCGAGTATTGGTGGCGGGGGTGTTCGGAGGGAAAAGATGCCTGGAAAAAGCCGCACAAGACCGCATTGAGCACATATAACACATCATGAGATGATGTTCTCAGCGAAAAACCAAACAGACCACTCGGAGCTATGACCTGATTGCCCCAAAATTAATAATGATTGCTTGTATAAGAAGCCCGTGGGTATGGGTGGGAGCAATGATTGCACGCACACAGCGCCCAGTTCCCATCTGTTACTCTCCACCGGGAACGGAGGAGCCGTTCGCGGGAGGCGGCGGGTATTTCGAAGCTGAGGACAGAGGGGACAGGATCATAGGATGGTCTGAGCTTGTCCTCATTTTTTTTCTCGTTGGGTGGTCGGGGATCAAGATCGAGTGAGTGGCAGGTTGCACAGGCCCGCGTCCAAGTTTTCCATAATCGAATTGGCAGAACTGGCTGGGAACAAATTATTGACTGAACTGAGTTTCTGCGCACAATGCCATTCAGTTCAGCTTTTCCCCGCCAAAAGCAATAAAAAGAAAACGGAAAAGCGCTAAAATAAAATTTCAAAAGACAAGCACAAACCAGTCATGGTGACAGACTTGGCACTTGGTGGCTGCGGGCAGATAATCCGGCAGAAAAACTCTTGCCCATTGGCTAGATACTCGGAGGCTCCGGCTAGCAGTTCCGACCAATAATATTACAGGCACACGTCGAGGTCAAGTTCCAGTCTTCTCTCGCTTTCTCGCTTTGGCGCTTTGGCGCGTTGCTCCGCCCTTCAAGCTTCTTCAGGCTCTTCCTCAGGCTCCCTCCCGGAGGGCTCCTTTTGCAGAGCATGGGCCTTTTGAGAATAAGCCCATCAGCCTAGGAACTATCCTCCCCGTTCCCCCCTCCTCATTCTAGTCCGTTACGTGCCACCAAAAATGACAACAATACGCAGATAGCACAGTCAGCAGTGCCACTCACAGTCATGGATGCCTTGTTGGCTGTCAAAAGTTTACTATCGGCTGTTCCAATTGTATGGCATACTCATTGCAAAGAGGTGGCATTTCCGTCCTGCTCATTGCTCCGGAGAAAGGTTTCCAGCATTGTCAGGGATCGACATCGTAACCGACACCAGCGCCATGTTCGACGATGGAGTTCTTGTAGCAAAATGAAACACGAGACCCATTCATTATCTTGTCCCCCCTCTCTCCGTTCTACTCGGACGAGGACTAACTTGCTGTGAAGGTTTGCGACACAGGCTGACTGTCCCGCCCGTGCTTGCTGAGAAGTCGCGTCAGGCCCATAACCCAGTCTAAGCAGGGGATTAGCACCAATCTCCCGTTGTCTGCCATTGCAGTCGGGCTCTTTGCGACGACCGCCTCCTACGCAACAACTCTTCGCTTCAGAGCAAACCGCTAAACCGGCCACATTTCCATGGCATAACACCAATGAAGGCCTCTCTTCCCCCCATCTTCAATGCAGTCACACCTTCCTTCCCGTGTCGAGCAGGGGATATTTGTTCCAAAATATACCACCTTGTATGCGGAGGGTCGCCGACAATGGTGGCCCCGAGGATCTTTTTGGACGCTGTTTTTGTGTACCTGGCAATCCTTCGCGTGGCAGCGCAGATCTTGCACCGGTCCTGGGAATGGTATTCGTTGCCAGCAAAATCAAGATTTTCCAAGTTCAAGGTGTGGGCACTGGCGAGATACCCCAGGTGGCTCATGCACAGTGAGCAGGCCTCAATTCACAGCGAATAGCTGCACCTGTTGGCGGGGCCTAGGGCGTGACTTGTCGGGTCACTTGGGCCTGTGAAATGCCTTTTGGAAACCCATGCTATTTGCCCACTTTCCCCCCGGGAACTTTCAGAGAGCACCTGTGGCTAGAGACAATGCTGCAGTCCGTCGGCCTCGACGATCTTGTCGAAAAGTAGATCCAGCTCATGACCCAGCCCAAAGCCGTCCCCGGCGGGAGCAAAGGGCCGCCCATAGTAGGTACATAGGTACCAAGGCCGACCAGGTCGACCCCGGCCTTGATCTCACAGGACTATAAGCAAAGGTTGATGCTGGCACTGGTCGTATCACTTCAGCTGCCACAACTTCCCTCTGTGGAAGAGCTGCATGGCGAAGTCCAAATGTCCATTGTGGATTTGAGGCAACGGATCATACATCCGAAAGCTCTGGAGCACAGTTGGCGCAGTTTGCGACAGGATGTGGGCTATAGTTTGGGCAATTCCAAGGTTTTGGGCAACACCGCCAAATCGACATCATGACTTGGGCTTTTAACGCATCTAGCGGCTCTGATTTCTACCTACGAGGACCTCTCCCCCATCACGAGACCAACATTGGCATGCGGGTACAAAGTGATGAGGCGTCAATAAGCCTTCACTGCCAAAAGGAAACAACTGCCAGCTGCAGCAATCACGGATGCCACCGTCATTGGCGATTTTGCGAACGCAAGATGGGCGAATACTTTTTCATCTTACCCCGCGAGGGCCTAAGCAGGCGACGGTGCTAGCGAGCCAGGCGACGGCACAGCCCAGAGACTTGACGCCGCAGACACACCTTTCGCCAGTTGACCTTGTTCCCAAAGCATTGAAGCGCCAAAGCGCCCTCCCTCGCTTTGATAACTCTAGCAGGGCGGTGAGTTACCTTGCAGCATCTGACTGGATGACGCCAGGACGCGGTTCAAATTTCAATCTAGGCGGTGAGCACGAGCGCCTCCTCCAATCAAACCAACGCCCCTTGACACAGGCGAACAGTTTACTTCAAGCTCTGACCTCCTGGCTCATGGGCTTTTCTGGCTGCTCGCGTCAGAGATTGTGGGCTTCGCGACACCTGGGGGAACCTTCCCCATCTGTGCGAACTTTCCATGGGTCTGCCTCTGCAATGGGTCCCGGATCTCGCGGCAGTGACGGACATTTACAAAAGATGCTGTGATTTCCAGGTACGTACCTATGTACGTGTACCTTGTTTTGTCATGGGGACTTGCCCACTTCCACAATTGCCGTCAGGATTCAGGGGAATCCCATGCACTTTAAAAATGCTCACTGATGGCGAAGCCTCATCATTTGATGACGCACAATAATGTTGTGCTTATTGCTCT